GTTTGTTATGTTACTTCAGTCAAAGATATTATTCATGCATCATATGGTTGATGTAAATTTTTTGTATGATGTCAATAGAAGCCTGTGGTCCATTGGGGATGAATTGGAATAGGGTGCATTTTCAAGACTAAAAGACTTAATTTTCTGTTGTCATAGTGAAAGAGGCAATGCTTATCTGACAAAAATTCCACCTTTCCTTTATTTCCCGTGTGGAATTTGACGAATCATTCCCATAAAGACCGGATTAGCAGTTTCCATTACTACATGTTTCATCTAATCTTGTCTTTTGCTCTTTTTTCCTTTTTTTGTCCTCTGACGCAGAGCAACACAATTGGTTTTAAAGGCCCATAAAGAAGCTGTGAATTCCTTGAGTGGCAATGGTTCTGCGAAACTGGGAACGGTTGCAGCAGTCGTTGCTGCTGCCAATTCGACTGCTTTGGAGAGTTCTAAGGATATTGAAGCAGCAATGCATATTTCTTTGAGGAATGCTTTGGGAGTGATAACGAATAAGCCAACTGATGGTCCAATGGATGATTTTGCAATTATGAAGGTACTGCTTATGATCTAGTTATTTACACTGCCCTACATTCATTTTGAAATGGCTTTTACAGTATAGTTTGTTAATGAAAGGGCCCTGGTTTCAATTGTACTTTATCAGTTCTGTGTCATGAGAAACAGTTTTAGTAGGTAACTGAGACCCTATAGTGTTTAAAACATTCATTTGTGCACAACAGAGATAGAAACATGCTACATCATTGAATTTCTTCCAAACTTGTGAGAAGCAAACATGAGGAATGTTGACTCCTCTGCAGTCCTTCAAATCCAATTGCTCTTTGTGATCATTTAGTTCACTTAGACTCTGTTTTCTGATTGTGTATCTCTGCTCTGTAGGAGACATTACGGGTCAAAGATGACGAACTACAAAATTTGGCTAGGGACCTTCGTGCACGTGACTCAACAATTAAAGAAATAGCAGAAAAATTAACTGAGACTGCTGAAGCTGCTGAGGCTGCAGCCTCTGCAGCTCATACAATTGATGAACAAAGGAGAATTGTTTGTGCAGAAATTGAGCGCTTAAAAAAAGATTCAGAGAAGCAGCTGGAATCTTCCATGTTAAAGGTATTGATAAGCTCTTCTATGTTAATTTTGTCGTGTCTTTGGATAAGTGATCTCCTTTTCCCCTCCACTACTATAAATTATTAATTTGGAAAAAGAAAAAAAAACTGATCTTTTTGTTCTGAGAGCACTTTTGATTGTTCAACTTTTTTTGTGGCTTTTGTTTATATATGTAGCTAAAAGATTCTGAAGAGAAGGCTATGGCCTTAAGCAAAGAAAGAGACCAATTGATCAGGCAGAGAGATTCTGCTCTTCAGGAGGCACACATGTGGCGTTCTGAGCTTGCAAAAGCTAGAGAGCGTGTTGTGATATTAGAAGCAGCTGTCGTGAGAGCAGAGGAGAAGGTTAGGGTTGCAGAGGCAGATGCTGAAGCTAGAATAAAGGAGGCTGTGCAGAAAGAATCAGCTGCGCTGAAGGACAAGCAAGAGCTCCTGGTCTATGTGAATAAGTTGCAAGCACAGCTTCAAAGGTTTAGTACCTTCTGCCTTTTACCCAATATATAAGTGGCTTGGGGATTATAATCCTTTAGTCCCTTATTAAGTTATCTTCAATATTTTATTAATCAACCATTTCATGTTGACAGACATCACATTGATACGAAGCAAGTGTTCGAGGAGAAGTCCGAGTCTGGCAATACACCCCTGACTAAACATGTAGACTTGTCTGAAGAAAATGTTGATAAAGCATGCCTCAGTGTTTCTAGAACAGTCCCAGTACCAGGGGAGAGTGTAGTTCACATGGCTGGGGATCAGGTCAACCACCGGCCAGCTGGAGATGGTGAATGGAGTGACATTCAGGCTCAAGATGCAAGGATAGCTGATGTAAGAGAAATTGCCCCCGAGTCAGAAGCAAGTAGCTTGGATATTCCTGTTGTTAGCCAACCAGTTGGTAACCAACATGAACAAGGAGGGAACTCTTTTCATCAGCCTTGAAAATGAAGTGACGCATTTGTAGAGCAGAAAACTTGAAATTGTAGGGCGTGCGGCGGACTATATAGAAGTCAGTTATAGGAGAAATGTGAACTTGGTGTTCTTTTTATACCCTTTCATTTATCAAATTGAGGTCTTGGCAGCCTGATTCTGCATGGATCAGATATCGGCTGGCTGGGCGTCTGTATGCGCCACATTGTGTCGAATATTCACAGATAAAGAAAACATGTGCTAGGCCCGTCTTTGTATAATGCGTTCCATGTGATCCCGCTCCACGTGCAAAAATTTATCCTCATTGTGTTCATATTGTGCTATTAACAGAGGGTTTATACTTATGTGGAAGAAGTATCTTTGGAGCTTCTCCCTAAACTATTTATCATGTTTCTGAAAAGAACCTAAGTGGAATTTTCTGTGCAACAATCCGAACATTTCGTTTTTCCTAACTTGTTCATTTTATTAATCTATTTATTTACATTTCTGTGAGTTTTTTCTCCTTTCTGCGAGCAGTGTGAGAAGTTCTATGATATTAAATATTGATGGTGGGTTTTGCTTTTTGGGTATGGTGTGGTCATCTACACCCATAAAAGCAAACCCCACAAGAACTGTTTCTCAAAAGACAAAGAATATCCAAAATTTTGGAATCTAACTTATATGGTTAAACCTCATTAAGTGGAGAGAATCCGCATTGTAATTGGGTGTATGCACCCACATATCTCTATGGAAATATTTTTGCTCACTACTGTTGAGGCCTAAAATTTCACAAGAAGTCCAAGAATATTTAAAGCCAAATATAACATATAATGTTGGTCATGCATTCATCCAAGCTGTATTTTGGGAATTTATCCATTATATAAATATAGAAATAGTGTACTTGTCATGCCAAGCAAATAATACATTTTCCTATGCTAAATCACCCGACAAACTTAAGTGGGCCCAAGCCACATACATGCATGGGGCTTGCTGAGAGGGTTGTGATGTGAATGGCTACAAGGAGGCCCATCAAAAGGTTCAACAAATGGAGGTTTTTGGGCTGCTTGGGAGCACCAAAACCCAAGTCCATTTGTATTGAGCCTATTGAGTGGATAAGCAGAGAGCGTGTCTTCTCCCAGCCTTTATTACCCGATCTCCAATTTTCTACCTTACAACACCAAACCACTGCCAGTCTTGCTTTAGTGACTACTACCCAACCCCCAACTACCCCGCACTAAAGCCTCAGTCATACTTACTGTGTCACCAACTTGAGCCACTCATTCTTCACATGCTTAAGCTTCAGCGGCTATAAAAGGAAGCACCCAAAAGGAAAGAAGGAGAACGAACAAAGAACGTCAGCAATAGAGCAAGCTATAATCTCACTGCTAGAAACACTCAAGCCTAACCTCAGAAACCATCTCTCTCTCTCTCTCTCTCTCTCTCTCTCTCTCTCTCTCTCTCTCTCTCTCTCTTTTTGAATCTCCAGAAACCATCATCTTCTTCTGCCAGCAACCATCCTCTTATTTTTCCAGAAGCCATCTTCTACCTTTTTTCCAGAAACCAGAAGCCATTCCAAGCTCTAAAATAGACTTTTTCCAAAACACTGTTTCAAGTCAGGCAGATGCTCTTGCTAAACTCAAGGAGACTCAGCTCCCATGCCACAAGCCACTCAAGCCAAGCCAAAATTTCAGTTCACAACAACCATTATAAGCTTGGTGAGAAGAAACCAGAGTATTCCCTAAGAATCAACATTCTTTCGGGTATTTTGGGGCCTAGTTATTGAACCCTGGCAAAGGGCCAACGTCACTCTCTCTTTACAGCGGCTCAAGTCAGCCTAGAGCTGCTGGAACAAAACAGATCCCCACAACCACTTTAACCTAAAATGTACCCTCATCGTCATTCTCAATACTTGACATGTGTCCATAAGCCTAACCATAGTTAACTTTTTACTTTGTATTTATGGGACCATGGTTATGCTCATGGACACATGTCAAATGTTGAGAAGGTTGGTGAAGATACACCTTAGGTTAAAATGGTGAGTGAAAATGCTCGCATATCTCTATAGCACTTATCACGTGACATGTATGTGTACACCAAGTAATTATAATGTTGTAGTACAGTAGAATGGTCACGTAGTATAATTTGTCCACATGTTATAATATAAGTGGATATTTATTGATATTATTCTGTAAAATGAGGAAATATCAACCATGTCATCTACCCATATTATAATGAGTGTACATGCTATACCATGTAATCCTACTACCGTACTATTATATAATTTCTCGTATGTACCCATGTCTTTCTAGCATCCCTCACACGACATATACTTTTTAAAAAAAATAAACCAAAGGATTATGCGAGATTAGCTCCTCAGTATTGGTCATCATATGAACAAACATCCACCACCCTCAAAGAGGGGATCAACACTCCAAAAGCCCCCTGCCCGTCCCCCTTTATCATAATTTATTAATAAGAAACAAAAAGGAGATGCAAGAACAACCGCGCGGGGGGGGGGGGACCAAACCAAACCCTGCAAAAGAGAAGGACAATGACAAAAATGCACAACAACATGATGACCTAAGAAACCAAAACTCTGGAAGAGTAAACAAAAGAAACTAGGAGAACTGGTAATTAGGCATGCCCAGCTAGTCCCGCTGACAAAAAGGCAAAATAAAAAAAGGTGCAGTATCCCACCAAATTAAATTAGAGCCCAAAGCACCATGATTTGACAAAGCATCAGCAGCATGATTACCCTCACGAAATACACTTATCACATGATATATCCATGTCTTTATTGCGTTCATGTGTACTTATATAGCTCATACTTAATCCAACTCCTCAATTCATTTCATCCTCATCTCATTACATATTAAAAAAAACATGTTTACAACAACCTAGCATTTGACTTTGGCACACTATATGTTATAGTATATATTGATATTTTAAAATTATAGTTAAATTAGTAGGTAAATCAAGGTTTGTCACATTCTTATTTATATATATGAGTCGCTACAATTTTATTACAGTATTTACCTACCATGAGACAGAAAAAAGAAGGCTCACAGAAAAGGAAAAAAAACAAAAATAAAGGTTTGAGGTGCACACCACCCTCCAAATATGCCTAAACCAATCTATACAGTCATAAACTCGGGAAAGATGGATCAGCAGCCAGCTGCACCACTGGTCTCAGCTCATCCCAGTTTCCATTTATAAAGAAATCGTTGTCGGTTGGAATATCCCTCAAGCTTGAATAAGATGTTGCATATGGAGTCTCCCCTACAAATGTAAACCACTGATTTGTTTCATCAACTTGTTCGTCCACACGAACTGGTTTTGATGATGATCTTTCAATGCGTTGCATGACGACCGAGTCTTGAGGGCTCACGTGTGGCTCGCCGCAGTAGTTCTCAGATTCGAAACTGCATGTTTTAGAACTTGAATCAGTAGGGTTTTGTTTCGTGTTGCCTTCTTTCCAATTATCTGGTGTGTACTTTTTGTAAGATGGGATTCGTTTGAAAATTCTGCAGAGTGTCCAAACTTCCTGCAAACCCAATCACGTCATTCAAAGTTGTGATTAGCTTTCTGACTTGCAAATAATTAGACAATTAACTTAATGAGGAGATATAATCCAGCACTAAGATAACTAACTCCACGCATGCATAGGGTTCGCAATGTTCTCTTGCAACAATTAACCTAATTAATGTATTAGATTCAGGTAAATATAAGTATCTTAATTTTGTTGCGCAATATTATCTATAATATAACATTTCCGTCAGTCTGATACATATAAGCATATCATGTTGCATCAATTTGTTTTCTTGCACGATCGAGTTTTTGACATATCATACTTGTCAATGAGATCTACATACATATTTAAACAAAATTTCACTTCGAGCATACAAATTCACAATCTGACAACACAACTTTATCAAGAAAGTTTATACATATAAATTGTGGTCTTATCATACTTCACTTGGGGCATACGATAAATTTAACACATATATATACAAAATTTGAGTCACCTAACTAAGACTATAAGGCCATCTCCCAGCCTTCTCCAATGCCCTAGAAACTCAAAATCCAAGTTCACTTTTACTCATGTGCATCAATTAGGGCAAAAAAGAATTACGAAGCCTCTAGGCACCACCATTTTTAGACTCATATGTGAATTTTAGTATGAAAATTTGGGTATTACATTAGAGATGCCCTAAGAATTAGGGAAGAGACTTACAGCTTCTTGTGTAATGTCCTTAGCATTGAGGAAGTTGGTAGTTTTGCCATGGCCGTGAGGTGGAAGGCGAAACTCATTCATCATCCAATCAGTTTTGGTGCCTTTGCCAGCACTCCCACGGTAGTAGACTAATGATTTCTTGAGGCCAATGCACTCGAGGGGCTCTTTCACTGAATATATGGGCTTGTCAATGCCAGTGGCTTTCCAAAATCCGGAACCCGTCACTCTGTTAGGCCTTATGCTGTTCCTGTATTTTCTCCCTCTTCTGCAAAAGAAGTAGCACTCTTTCTCCCCCACAGTGCTTACTTCTTCATTGTTACCCGAAAACAAGCAACTCATGAGAGCAAATTATAAATTATAATACATATGTATATATAGAATGGCACATGCATGCAATGAGGTTGGTCAGTTATATCTACGATGAACTCTTTGTGTTTTGTATGTCTCCATGTGTTTTGCTTAACTTAATAGGAGATATAGACTTATATGCAAATAGTTTTTGTTACTGGACCCTTAATCAGCGGAAAAGGTTACATAATTCGGAGTGATGGGATAATTGTGTCTACAATACTCACCGCAGTTGTCCCATCACTCCACCGCATGTAAGTTTTTTTTTTTCCTCTTAATCATTTCATATTGTCCTAGCTATCTAGCTAAATTAGGTAGCTATCTCATTTTGCTTAACTTTTTCTTTGGAAGAAATTATTTAATAGCGGACTTAAAAATTCAAATTAAAGTGATGATTACACAACTAACTAGAACCCTAATTTTCCTTCGGATGGAGATTTTAGTTTCATTTTCCTAGCACACAGTAAAAATGACTACATATGCTTTTGCTATAAGACATGCAAAACGCGCAGCCTCCTTGTATAATTCTCTCTTTCTGCCAGACCAGCTGTACTGTATAGATCTATCAACGTTATATCTGAGATATTAATCCTACATAGTTTCAAGATTTTTGCATACATATTTATTCACAGATACACATATATAATCAACTGAAAAACAAAAATTATGAAGGGTCTTACTTGGAAGATCCCAAGGATCATATTTGTAGATGTCAATCTGTTTGATAAGCTCCATGCTAATGGGTTTCTTCTCCACCTTCTTCTTTAAATAAAACCCAACAAGTTCCTCATCAGTTGGATGAAATCTAAACCCTGGAAGCATCATTTCCTCATCATCATCCTTAACCTTCTGATCTGATGAATTTCTCATCACCTTTGCCACCTCCATCTCTCTCTCTCTCTCTCTCTCTCTCTCTCTCTAGACTCTACTATTCTTCTCCGCGCTATAGTATCAAAGCAGAATCTTCTTATATATATATAGACTAAATATCTTAGTTCAGTTTCTCCCCCACGAGAATTTTTTTTAATTAATTAATTAATTAAAATATTATATATATCGATGTTTCAAGCGGTGGTGTGGTTGCCTCAGTCAAGTCACGGCATGATCGAAAAGGTCTTGGAAGAAGTCTATATCTCATATGCTGGTCCCTCTTGACTCTGTCCACATGCAGGAGAGTTCGAGTTCCAGCCTTGACCCATTTTGCCCACTTTTGGCAATCTCCCATTTTAGTGGGGTGAATTTTCAAGTCTAATACTTGGATAATATATATTATGTGATATAGAGCATGTGTGTCTCGTTGGGTTTTCACCTGTGGACAAACCTGCTCTGATACCATAAAGGAAGTCGAAGTTCCACCCCAAACCTAATTAGCAATGAGAGAATAGTCCAACTCCTCATAAGCTCTTAAAAGATTTTTAACTTTTCAATATCGCATTCTTATTCTCACATTTTCTCTTTCTTTTCTTCTATTTTTTCTTTTTAATTAATTAGTCTTTCATACACTGATTATGTGTGACTAATTGTGATCTGTGGAACAATCCTGGGTAGGCTTAGAAAAGGTAAATTATTAATCATGAAAGGTAAAGAACATGTGACATGCGACTTTTAGAAATTTGAGGATATGGATCATGTAAAATAGTTTAAAAGTCTTCCTGAGTGGGCATCCCCTTTGACTAATATATTGGCCACGTACCTTACTCTTTTATTGGGACAATTAATTTCAACGAGAAGCTTAGTAAACAATATTAATTATTTGCTGGGGAGAGAGATGTTTGACCCATTTTAATGCATCAAATTTGCCCTCCTTTATAGACCAGGCCATTGTCCATATGCTTGTTCTCTTCTGATATTAATTAATAGAACGCTATGTTCATATGCTTCTTCTCTTATGATAATACAGTTTTTTTTCCCTATGGAATCTAGTTCAGTGAAAAAAAACTTTGTATTAAAAAAATATAATTTTATGTTATATTTTGATACAGTACATGAGGCCCATAACGTTCTATTTGTATTAACCAACCTAACTCTTTTAACTAATGATATATTTCTTCTTAATATTAAAAGAAATTCGAAGAAAAATAATAATAAAGATTATATGCGAGTGCATATGATATTTTTTTCCTTATAATATTTATCAATATCGAGAAGGTATAAAGATTTTGTGTGTTGTTTTTTCAATAGAATAATATATTTTAAGAATACACATAACTATTGTATAATTATATTTACTGGTCGCATTGTTGATCGATATTTCTTCGGTCATACCTTTCTTCCTTACATATACGACTTTCAACAAGCATAAGAATTGTCATCTCACTAGCATCAAAAATTTGGAGAGACGGTTGAAGTAGAAGCCGATAGGTTTTTAATGGCCAGACTGAGTTCAAATTTTCAAGTCAACCATGCATGCAAACGTCAACAATTTTATTGATTCTTAAAACCACATTATTGAAAAGCCAAAAAAGTCCAAGTCCTATATATATTCGAGATTGTAGGGCAGAGATATAGTCAGGTCTTCAAGAAGCTTCTTCTTCGACTTGCGCTCCTTAGAATAGTCTTACCTCTGACGTAATCTTACCTCATCAATACTACGCCGTTTTTATATGTATCTCTGTACAGTACATGTAAAACAATGCTATGCTAAGAATAATAATGTATGAAAAAGGGGGCTCATAATTCCAAACAAAGCTCACGAAACTAAAATAATTGAAATTCTAAAATAAGCCAAGAGCCTAAATAAACACTACCACCATCACCTGAAAAATTGTCGTTTACAAGATACGCAAGGAGGTTTTCTTATTCGAGTAATAAAATACAAATTTACTGCTATATATATATATATATATATTCATGTTGAAATGGGAAATTTTGACAATCACTTATTAGAGGTGGAGGGGTCATAAACTGAATTATATCAATTTTTTCTTATATCTATAAATATGAAAATGAATGGTAAAATGGATGGCCAAGAGGCTACTTATGACTTACGCTTGTCTTCGCCCCTGATTGGATATATCACAATTTGACACACGCTCACATAAAATACAAAATGAAAATGTTTACGTGTCCACATAGAATACACTAAGCTTTATGTGTTAAATAGTTGTGACAATGTCTTTGCAAGGAGAAATGATTTGGACATTTTCTTTGAGAAATGTATAATTCTAGAACATTTAGAAAATACTCATGTAGGTAATTTACAAACTACTATAATTTTTGTAAGTTGTGGTGGGCAATTTTTAAGTATTTAAACATTAAGCAAAGATACGTAATATGTGGGGAAAAACCTGACCAAAAGGAAGGAAAAAAATGAATGAGTATGACTATGACTAGTAGACAATCGCATTTTCAAATTTCAAAGGTTTTTGTGACCTAAACTAAATTTTATTTTGATTATGGTTTGACTGGAAATCAAATGTCCTATTGGGTGTATATTTGTGACTTCCTGTAGAAAATGATGGTGTTTTTTTTCTTCTTTTTACAAGAACATTATAAGAATTCATTGAATAAAATTTTCATTAATGGTGAATAACCAAACTATGGAAAGTCTCCTCTTCTCCAAGTCTAGCCAAACGAATAAATGACAAAGCAATTGGCAAGTCAAGCCTCGAGTGGCCTCTCTCTCTCTCTCTCTCTCTCTCTCTCTCGTTTCAATCCACGCATGCTGAAAAGCTAAAACGTTCAATTATGTGGAGCTAATGAAATTGCTTAATTTCTTGCCAAATAAAACAAAAAACATGTACGTTATACATTGACTTTTAGCAATAGCATGTTTGTCGGTTTCAAAATCTACCCTTCACTTTCTTGCTTTCTTTAATCCAATGGCCCAACTTGTCTAATTTTTGTGATAGATAACATGCATATGCATGCAAATTAAACGTGTCGCGTTTTGTGATAAACAGGCCAAATGGAAATAATAATTAATACAATGGATTTTCTCATCTCTATCTTTGAGGATTGAGTGTAGGGTTGGGAGAGAGAAATAATGTTCTCTATTATAATTACATCTGCAATATTTTATCAAATATCCAGAACTTTCCCACGGTTCCATCTAAGGTTGCTAGCATTCCCATGTGAAGAGGATGGGGCAAAACGACAGAAGAATTGTACTGATCCCGTACCCAAATCATAAATGATTTCATATGTCTGGTCGCTGACCCTATACACTGCAAAAAAAGCCTTGCGGTTTTCAAACATGCACTTGTAAATGGCGGTCCAATAATTGTCGGATTACAACTCACAAAGTCGTAACCAAAGTCATGTATGCAGTGCTTCATTTTAAGTAGTTTCATTTCAACCCTATTAAATACGTCGGCTCTTGCGAAGTCCAGTAGGTGTGCTGTTTTATCATAAAAAATCTCAGCACTATTAATAACGGAGAACCGCTCATTATATGTTTCATTTTCATGTTATTTTGTCAAATTCCCGACGTTGGACTTTATATTCATCAACATCATAAACAACACTTTGTTTGGAGAAGGGAAAATTCAAATACATATCACATCATAATCGTTTAGGAAATTCAAACACCCCAAGCTGGAGGACTTTTTTCCAAGATGGCCCGTTGCTGATATCATCCCACCAAGCAGAGACATGTTTTCTGTCCCTGATCATATGCTCCTTCCCCAAATCAGCCACCAAGTGTTGGCTAAACGGAAGGTGGCTACGATCAGCAAGGCTGAAGAAATCACCAGCCAAGTACTTGCTCTTTGACAGCCTCTCCTCATAAATGTCCAACACCTTCCCCAGCTTTGCTTCACTCTCTTGAATGATCTTGGGATCTGAAGGAAAACCCAATGCTGAGGCAAGCAGAATGTGAACGACTAACTTGTAGACTGGAGGGTGGAATCTTAGTGCTTCAACCTCTAGCCATTGTTCCACAAGCCCTCTTTCCTCAACTGTCTTTCCCAGCAACTCAGTCCCCTGGGACTTAAATTTTTCTGCGTAGTATCTCATGATTGCACGCGATTCTGCACGTTACATTAGAAACCAGTGAACAAGTTTGTGTATGTCAAACAAAACTCTGTATTTCTTGCTTCCCAAGCATTCCAATCGAATAATGTTAGGAGATAAATAATGTAACAAAATGCATGTAATGTTAATTACTTTGGTCCCAAATTAAAGACCAGGAAGCAGAAAAGGCAGAGCTTACCGTACAGAGTATAGTCCCCATCTTGAATGACAGGAACTTGTCCAAAGGGCCACACATTTAAAGACAAATCAATGCAAAGATCAACATATTTATAGTTTCGAAAGAGATTATTATGAGTAGACCAATCACAATTAACAAGTGACTTAATAATACTAGCTAAAGCTAACCTCTAATTTGAGGAACTCAGGGTCCTTGTGCTCCCCCTTGAAGAGATCAATGCGGATGATCTCAAAGTCGATCTCTTTCTCTACAAGGCAAGCCAGCACACGCTGTGGGGAAGCGTCGATGGAGCCATACACCTTCACCACCATTGTGAATTAGAAGAGCCTGCAGTCTGCACTTTCCAGCTTTTGGTTCTAAGTGGTGTTTGGTTGGGGCAATGAAATTGAATGGTACGTTAATAGGAAAGATAATGAAAATGGAATTTTGGGATAGAAATCTTTATTTCTATATTTGTCCATAGTTGATGCATATACTTCGTAGACTACAGATTACACAAATTTGGTTTTTTAATTCACATCACACCTCAAATGAAATGCAGTTACTCATTACTGTTTTTCTTTTTCTTTTCAGTTTTCCCAAAATTAAGATTCCAATTTACAAACTTTCTTTCACACATCAACTATCCAGAAACTGTTTCTTCATCATAATTCATGACTGTATGAATGATATAAATAGATAATAGAGAAACGTCAATGAAAGATTGGAAAGGATTGGAGATAATACAGCTTATAAATGTCAGGTCACTCTTTGAAATGATGGATTGTTCCCTATCTTATACATGACAAAATATGGATTTTATAGAGGTTGAAATTTAGATTCCTTTTGGGAGTGTGAAATTTCTGATGGGGAGAAGAGAGAGAGAGAGAGAGAGAGAGAGAGAGAGAGAGAGAGAGAGAGAAAACACATTTCAATTGTAATTCTGGGTACATTATGGTTCACGTTTTAGAAGTAAGATGGGTAAGAAGCACAAAGGTGTTCGGATCGGAATGCATGTGCCCTCATGCCATGCATGCACTAAAGTGAGGTTATGAAATAGCATGAAAACAATGCGTTTCGCATTCATCAAACCAAATAGCATGAAAACAATGTGTTTTGTATGGACTAAACCAAATATTTTTCGATGCTGATTTAGTATCTTGCGTGGGTAACTTGGGCAGATCCACTAATATGAGATGCCAAAGTTGAAATCAGTGATATGTATGTGCCTCTCAACTGTCCCCAATTTCTTTTTCTTTATACAAGCAATAGTCTAAATTAAAGGGGGAGGGGGGAGGGGAGAGAGATTGAACTCAGGTGTAAGGGGGTGAGCACACTACCATGATCAACTAGCCTAACCCACATGCACAATCTACAATTTCTTTATTTAAGCAATTATTGGGTTATAACTCACAGGAATCGATCGTAAATTTCTACCACCTGTCCTCACACATAATTGATAGAAAAGAGAGTTGATGGGCTTATCTATTATTTATGTTGAGTACAACTGCAGAAATCGAAAATGGAGACAGGGAGGGCCATATAAATTGGAGACGAGAACTGAACTCTATTGGTGCAAAGACGGAAACCAATTTCATTCCACCAATCTTTCTAAAGTGATGTTATTGGTGGAATGAAATTGAATGCTAATGTTAATGGGAAAGGTAATGAGAATGGAATGCTGGAATGGAAATCCTTATTTCTATTTCCCCATAGTTGTTGCATACACTATGTAATAGATGTATGAAAGAAAAGTCGACTAAGAGTTAATAATGCTCTGATAATCCAACATTCACGAAAGTCATACAAAAGCAATTAAAGCTAGGAAAGGTACAAAAGCAAATAAAGCAAGGAAAGCTACAAAAGCAAAACCAGCCCAAGAAGTCCAAAACCCCAGAAAAAAATGTGAATTCCTAGCTTTGTTTTCAACTAAAGTTCATCTTTAGAAACTCCAAAAAGCACCCGGGAAAGACTTTCATAAAATGGAGATAACACTATTTTGTTATCTCCGTCCAATAATGCTATGTCACGTGAAAACGCGTCATAACACTTTCACACGGCATAGCATTATTGGTCGGGGAGCAAAATAGTGATATCCCAGTTGCAACTAAGTTTTTCTCCTCTAAAGCATTCATGATATTTCACATCCCAAAATGGGTTTGCCCCACTTCCCCTTTCTCATTTGCTCTGATCTACTTTTCTTTTTTGTTTCTTTTCCCTTTTCTACAACCATTGAAGATTACACAAATTTGGTTTTTCTAATTCACATCACGCTCCAAATGAAATGCAATTACTCAATTTCTATTACCAGCGAAACTCAAGCCCTACAGAAAAAATATGACATTTAGGGCTCGCTTAATAACCATTTCGATTTTAGTTTTTAGTTTTTAGTTTTTTACATTTTCTGCTAGAGTATAAAGGAAAAGGAGGGAGAAATGGAATTGAGAATGAGAGTGGAGATGGGATTGAGAGGGAAGATGAGAGGGAAGGGTGTGAGGGAGAAGTAACAAAAGTGAAAATAAAAACTAAAAATTGAAATCTATTTAAAATTGTTTTCACTTTCAAGTTTTTGTATTCACTTTTGTTATTCCTCCCTCCTATCCTCCCTTCTTATCCTCTTTTCAATCTCATCCTCACTCTCATTTTCTTATATACTCTAGCACAAAAAATGAAACTAAAAACTAAAATTGAAATGGTTATCCAACTGGCCCTTAGAAAATAGACTTCTATAGTGGAATGGAATTTATGTTTCCCATCAAATCAATCATGTTTCAGAATAAAAAGCCATTCTTACACATTAATAAAACATAATCCAAGCAAAACCTCAAGTCCAGAACCATTCATTCAAGCATCGGTTTAATATCAAAACTTGCATCACAGAATCAAATGTAGGAAGAAGAAAAAAGTTGAAGAAGCAGACCAATAAATAGCTCAAGTACCTCGTTCTTTCCTTCAGAGACTTGGCAGATGGGTCTGGCCGTCAGCGAGAGTGAGAAGATGGAGTGAGAAGAGAGATAAGATGGAGTGAGAAGAGAGATAAAAGAGAGCGAGAAAGACAAAGCTTTTAGCATCGAACTTCGGTTTTTGGGTGAAGTTAAATCAGAACAAAAGCTAGGACAAGCTAGCCCACAGGTTGCTTCTAGCTAAGCCACCAACTTTACTAAAATCCAGCCCAAACCCAACAATGGACTGGAACTCCCAAATCCAGCTTGAGCATTCTTAATTAAAAAATGAGGAACTTATTCAACCAAGCAGTTAACCATAACAAGTTGTCAAGACAAAGCGAAAAAGAAAAGGTAAAGAAGTCTATTTTACCATGTGCCAAGAGAGAAAGCAAATGATGAAGGACATAGCACATCATTATTCTTACAAGTAGTTTTGATTATTTATTTTTGCCCAAGCCCAAGCTCAAGGTACCGAAATTCATACATACTACTACTTGTGAATGTAACGCTCCACTCACAATAACTTTCCTCGAACGTTCACATGACATGACTAAGCGAAAAACATTGTATGCACCCGCTGTTTGCAAAAATACAACATCTGCCTTAAAATGGGCCACCAAACTCGAGGACCTTCTTCCAAGATGGTCTGTTGCTAATATCATTCCACCAAGCAGAGACATGCTTTCTGTCCTTTATCAGATACTCCTTCCCCAAAATAGTCACCAGATACTGAGTAAATGGAAGGTGGCTGAGATCAGCAAGGCTGAAGAAATCACCAGCTAAGTACTTGCTCTTTGACAGCCTCTCCTCATAAATGTCCAACACCTTCCCTAGCTTTTCTTCACTCTCTTGAATGACCTTGGGATCTGAAGGAAAACCCAATGCTGAGGCAAACAAAATGTGAAGGACTAAGTTATAGAGTGGTGGGTGGAAGTTGTGTGCTTCAACCTCTAGCCATTGCTCAACAAGCCCTCTTTCCTCAATTGTCTTCCCTAGCAAAGCAGTCCCTTGAGACTTGTACTTTTCGGCATAGTACCTTATGATTGCGCGTGATTCTGCAGATCAAAGACAGTTTTATCAAATAACTTGTTAGATCATTATGTTGATGATGCTGATAAGAAACCAGTGAACACTATTGTCAAAGAAAAAAATTTCAAAACTTTCTTACTTCCCAAACAGTACAATCCCAATTTGATGCTCAAGACAGATTCAAATGATGAATTGAAGCAAACCCACAAAATGGTACACTAAAAGATCAAGAAAAATTAAATGTAACGCTAACTTTGATCCCAAAATTAAAGATTTAGCATACCATATAAAGTATAATCCCCATCTTGAATGAGAGGAACTGTTCCAAAGGGCTACATTTAAAGACAAAAACAATACAAATTAAGATCAACCGTCATATATACAGACGATAAATATAATTTCCAAAGAGATGACGAGCAGAAACAATGACAATAGATTGAATTAATAGCAAAAGGTGACCTGCAATTTGAGAAATTCAGGGTGTTTGTGCTCTCCCTTGAGGAGATCAATGGGGATGGTCTCAAAGTCGACCTCTTTCTCAACAAGGCACACTAGCACACGCTTTGGGGAAGCATAGGCAGCGCCATACACCTTTACCACCATTCTTACTGTTTCAGTGAGAAACCAAGTATTTAGATCTCGGTCTGCAGATTACTCTAGATTTTGGTTTCTTAGTTCTTATAGTAGTTAAGGTGTGATATGCCCATACCTAGTGGTCCAATAATTGGCCTCTGCACTCCAAAACAGATAAGCTCATAAGATTTTTTGTGCACTCAGAAATATGAAGTGCAGAAAGATAAACTTGGGGTGTCATTATGTTGCTCTGTCTTTTTCTTTTTTGAAGGCTGTGGTGCGTAGTGGGTAGGTGGTCACATGAAGTTAATTCTTTAATCGGTACAGGACAATTATGAGTGGATACTGCTTGTCCCCTCTGAAATGAGATAATTTATTAAAAACACGACCAAAAGATTTATACACACGTCACATTGATATTGAAAAGAATGTATGAACCCTATTTATATAATAAAGAGGAAAGTATTTTTCATTATGGTAGCCTTTGACATCATAGTTCTATTTAGGCCGCTGTGCGTTGCACGAGCAATTAAAAAAGTGCCAAAAGGGTTCAGAATGCATGTGCCACCATGCCATTCATGCACTCAAGTGAGGTTCTCAAAATAGTATGAGAACAATGCGTTTTGTATGCTCCAAATCAAATGTAGCATGAAAACAATGTGTTTTGTATTCACCAACCCAAATAGCATGAAAACAATGTGCTACTGAACCAAATATTTTTGGATTCTGATTGAATATCTTGTATGGGTAGCTTGGGCACATTCACTAATACGAGATGCCAAAGTTCAAATGAGCGATACGTATGAGTCTCTCAACTGTCTTCAGTAGTCTAAATTATGATAAATGACAATTAAACTCGCAAGAAAATGAAAGTACTACTTTGATTAAATAACCTCACTCACATCTATAATCTACGATTTATTTTTTTAAGTAATTATGAGGGAATAACTCATAGAAACCCATTGTAAATTTGTTCAATTTTTTAGGGGGGAAAAAAAGGATTATCGCTAATTTTCAACAACAAAAAGGGTTGATAAATCAGATGCAAAGATCTATGATCTTTTTGTAGGTTATTCAAAGACAGAAACCAATTTAGGCCCACATTGGCAAGAGGTTCCTTCTCAGTTATCAGTAGTAAGCCACCAACCTTCTAAAGTCCAGGCTCAACCCAAAAATATGAACCACACCCATACCTTAATCTAAATGTTGGTTCTAAAACCTCCCGTTGAGTGTTAACCTTCAAATGTTTATAGGTCATATATAAATGAATCACTGGGTTTTAATCAAGGCTTTTTATCACAAAACGTCTTTGACATTTGCGAAACTATCAGATTGTATTATTAAAGTTTTTTTGTATCACTTATGGTCCCTAACGTTAATATAGGTGCTCTTAAATAGTCATTCTGTTCAAAAAATTGTTAAATCCATAGATATATTTGTCAAATCAATTCAAAATTTTGACAATTATATCCTTGAATTTAACAGTTTTTTTTTGACAGAATGACTATTTAAGAGCACCTATATTAACATTTGAGACCATAAGTGATACAAAAAAACTTTAAAGATGCAATCTGATAGTTTCGCAAACGTCAAAGACGTTTTGTGATAAAAAGTCTTTAATCAATTTTAAAGCCCCTTAATCATCATGTTCGAATTATACAAATACAAGACGATAAATAAGTACAGCTTTTAACAAAACCTTTCCAACTATATCATATTAATCCACTTACACATCCTGAATGGATTATTACAGATCCAGCATGAATGCTTTTTTTAAGTCCTAAGTGAGAAAGCAAATTACAAGGGGCAGAGCACATTATTCCCACAAAGTACTATTAATTATTTATTTTGCCCAAAACCCCAAGATACAAAAAATCTTGTATACAACCGGGTCGTTCACATGACAAGTTATTACAAGACACATTGTATACACTCGTTGCATGCAAAAATTTCTTCCAATACATTAAAATGGGGCACCAAACTGCTGGAGTACCTTCTTCCAAGAAGGTCTGTTGCTAATATCATCCCACCAAGCAGCGACATGCTTTCTGTCCTTTATCATATACTCCTTCCCCATACTATTTGCCAAGTAGTAGGTGAAGGGAAGGTGGCTAAGATCAGCAAGGCTGAAAAAATCACCAGCCAAATACTTGCTCTTCGACAGCCTCTCCTCGTAAACATCCAACACCTTGCCAAGCTTTTCTTCACTCTCCTGAATGATCTTCGGGTCTGAAGGAAGACCCAATTCTGGGGCAAACAAAATCTGAATAACTAAGTTGTAGAGTGGTGGGTGATAGTTGCTTGCTTCAACCTCTAGCCATTGTTCCACAAGACCTCTTTCCTCAATTGTCTTTCCCAGCAAATCAGTCCCTTGGGACTTGTATTTTTCTGCATAGTACCTTATGATTGCACGCGATTCTGCATATCAAATTTTGACATTTTATCAAAGAACTTGTTAGATCGTTACATTGATGCTGACAAAAAAAAAACCTAGATAACAAGTTTGTCATGAAATTTGTTTGCTGGATGTTGAATTTATTTAGGGAGAAATAAATTTATGCAAATTGTCTATACTACATACCCTGGCAACTTAGTTATAACTTATCAGGCTTCTAATCGGAAACACATTCAACATCAAATGAAAATCTGCATGATCGAAGTGGTTTCCATCAACGTTGTTATAAGTTAAGAACATAACATGTTAGACTGTTTAGAAATAGAAAATTTCAACTATACTAACCCTTGTCAGAATTTTCAACATATATCTAACAAGGAAAACACAAGAACATTATTATTGAACGACTTAATATTTATCATCAGAGCAAGCAAAAACGGATTAAAGTCGGCGAATGTTAATATAAAATTAAAAAAGCAGCATACCATATAAAGTGTAATCCCCATCTTGAATGACAGGAACTTGTCCAAAGGGCTACATGTAAAGACAAAACAATGCAAAGATCATACATATACATAATTTCCAAAGAGATAAGTATGAGTAGAGCAATCACAATTAACAACAGAAAATTAATAACTAAAACTAACCTGCAATTTGAGGAATTCAGGGTCTTTGTGCTCTCCCTTGAAGAGATCAATAGGGCTGGTCTCAAATTCAATCTCCTTCTCAACAAGACACACTAGCACACGCTTAGGTGAAGCATAGAAAGGGCCATACACCTTTACTACCATTCTGATTCTTTTGAAAATTGAAAAAACAAAGAACTTACAAAGTGTCTGCGCAGAACAGCTTTTGGTCCCCAGTTCTTATATAGACTCTCTAGCTCTTCCTCTCTCTCAGAAGAATGCATGTCTTTAATGAAAAACAGGTATCCAATTTGCCTTTGGTCACTAGTTCTTTTGCTTTGATAAGCTCTTAGCTCATCATGACAAGAGGCAGTAGAAATTTAATTATCCTTGACTGAGGCAAGCCAATCATGGTGGCCTATCTACAGTCATCTCTGGTTTGTAGGGACCCCAAGGACCAAGGTGCCTAAAGTCTCCAGAATACATGCATTCAACTAGGATTATATCATCACAACCATTGAAAGTTTAAAGTGATCATCCACCCACCTTTTTTACCTCAACTCTGTATAAATCATATTAAATCACAATGTCAAAAAATTGGTCTTTGAAATTTAAAGCCATTCTAAACCCAGCTTGCATAGAAAACCAACCTTTTCAAAATAAAATTGTGAAAATTTCATGGTCATTGAAGAAAATAAAAACCAACAAGAACAGAAATCATGGAACAAAAAATACGAAAAAATAAATTAAACAAACCTAAAGAAAAAAAATATTCAAAGCGAAGTGGAGCCTTCAGACATCATCATAAGGCCCCGAGGGTTCGAGGTGGGCAGAGTGGGGAGAGAAAGAGAGACAGAGGAGATGTCTTGCGAGCGGCAAAGTCACCAAACGCATTCAGATTGAAAACTATAAAATTGTATGGGAAATCACGGTCCCCTCAGTTATTTTCGTGTCTACACGGTGTTTGATTAAATGCCGCTTCGAGCAAAGCACTCCTCTGAACTCTTTTTCTCACACCCCAGCAGCCGCTCCATTCGCGCCCTACTACATAACGCCGACCGGAAGCTTCCATTTATATTTCAGTTTTTTTTCTTTCTGGGTTTTAGGGCTGCAGTGTTGTGTAATTTGGGCCTAATTACTGGACCTAGATTGTCTGAGCCCAACCCAATTCATATTTTCTGGGTTTCGATGGGTCCTGAGTTAGGTGACAATCACATCAAATTTTTTGTCTTCAGAACACCCAAATTCCGAGAAATGTACAAAGAGTTTGTAGTTTAAATGGTTAAGAATATTTACTCAAATCAAGTATAATATCAATACTCCTACTTACATAAGTGAGTTATACCACTTATATCATAACACGTAAACACAACCATGCTCCGGACTACACTAGTTACTCAAAAACTGAAATGTTTTCAAATGAACAGAGAATGACAGCAAAAGAGAGATTGAAGAATAAATAAATAGTCCAAAACACTGAGATATGATTTCCGATAATTCTGTACATTCTAAGCAGCTTAGGATGCTGCCAGCATGACTATATTGACACAGTAATAAAATTTCCAGAATCCGCTTTAATCGTTCAGTGGCTTGCCGATCAACAAGTTGCCCCATACCCCAAAGAGGCAAACTTCAAATTTAAGTTTTAATGAGCTTAACTTCCTCAACAAAAAAACTCACGTAACACAAGCAATAAAATGGGATAAAACCATCTTTTCATCAGAATGAAACCACTGATTTTGGCTGGGATGAAGATTGCAACTGAGAAAGGGCAGTATCACTCTCCTCACTCTCATCAAATACAATTGGCTTTCCCTCAATGTGTTTTCTGCATACAAAAACAAATGCTGTTAAGGGAAATCAATGCTTCTTTAGACAAAAATCACACCCTTGCCAGAACAGAGAGCAATTTAATACCTCTGAGAGATGAAACTCTCTTCAGACAATGCCTTCTCTAACCTCTCCTCAAATGGTGTCGCATGCCAACTCACCTTCTGATCCTGAAAGTTAAAATATCACTTCAGAGTTCAGAACACTGCTTTAAAGATTCAAGGCTGCAAAAAGAAATAGAAAGCACTTTGGCATACCTCCTTGTATTTATTAGTTGAGTTTGGGATCCCGTTGCCATCCCACCACTTCGGCGAGATACGAGTAGGCTCATCTTCATTCCAGTGAGTAGCAACAAGCCCAATGATAGGCCTGTCCCCAGGAGTTCTTCCAAAATGGCGAGTTCGGCCAGGAACATAACCAAAGTTTTGGTTGTTGTCATCTCGATTTACTGGTTTCAGCCAGGAGGACAAACTTGATTCTACATTGAACTCTTGTCCAGATGAAGTTTCTTTTGCTCCCACTTCTGATATAGGGGTTGCATTTCCGGATTGGTTAAGAGATTCTCTTAGCTCACCTGAAAGTCCCTGTGAGTTCGAATCTTCGTCTTTCATTAACTTCCACTGAGAGATGCCCTCTGCAGGGTTTTGCACCGCATAGACATACTGGGACCTGATTCGAGCCTTTCCATTTGGAAAATTTCCCAGGTTTGCGGGGAAAACAGTTCCTGGCGTCTGCATCTCATCAGACAGAGTTAGTGGGGTTGGATAAACTGAAGGCTTTGATATGCTCTGTTTTCCTGGAGTTTCAGATACTTTCGCACTCCGGGTATAATTTTCGGATGAAGAACCTCTGGAGGAATTTGTGTCAATATCGCATTCAAAACGAACAGCCTTGCTCCTGCACTGGACATCTGGAGTTGAAATACTCTCAGTCTTGACTGTCGAATCAATAACTATTCCACTGCCTTCAGTAGAGCTGATAGAGATTCCTCCAGTATTCTGTTGGTTCGACATACTACCATTGCAAACAAAATAAATTGGACAAGTGTCAGAAACTATGCTATTCCAAGGAAATAAAATCTAAAATATAAGGACGAAAAACCCACGAATCAAGTATGTTTACTAAATATAAAAGGTTCCTGAAAGTCCAGATCATTACACCAGAAAAAGAAAAAAAAACTCAATTATTTTATGCAGACCATTTCAAATTGGCACCGATTTTTCCCTATGGAAACCAAAAAAAAAAAAATTCAAAGCTAAACGATGTCAGATTGAAATTATGGTTTAGCAAACGATCTCCCAAGTCATCTATAAATAGCAAATCTATTAATTTTCAAGCATTCAATACAGTTGTAGAACCTGCTAGGTGTATGCTCTGAACGACGTGATCCCTTTCCCCACTCTTCACCAAGTTTAATAGGCGTCAGGGGCTGATCTGGTTGATCCCCCTGCTGAAGTTGTTTAATGGATGTGTTAGGAAGCCATGAGTTGAACTTTGGAGGCTCTGAACCTCTATCATGATGGGGTGAGCCATTTAACTTTGAAGATGCCTTCCGAATTTCGACTGGGGTCTCTACTAACGTACCACATGCTTTAAGAAACTTGGCCTGCAGAATAAGGTGCGATTCATAAGTAAAATAAATATTTTCCAACAGTAAAAGAAATTCAAACAAAAATGTGACCAGCAAATTGTAACAATGAGATTAAATCTACTACAAAAATGGAATTAAAGCTCCATTGAATGTCACACTGTCTAACTTATAAAGCAACATGAATTGATATTGTTTCTTTACTTAAACACCATGATACTGGAAAAGAACGTCTTTGTTGCAGTATATCACATTACAATAAGGAAGCAACATGAATTGATGTTGTTTCTTCACTAAAACACCCAACAAATTATTTGGCAAAAATGGCCCTATCAGATTCGAATTATGTTATTCTTTAGCATTACCATCTAAATAATCTATATCTTTAAGTGCTATTTTCATTTTCAAGTTCACCGTGCGCAGGACAAAAGGTCATAAAATTTGTCAATGTTCTAGCTTATAAGGGAAAAGCCATAGTAAAAAACTGGAATGCACAAGACTATGGTTCCAATACTTCCAAACTCATACCTCATTCCTCAGCTCCTTGTCAATTTGTGGAGACCCATAACATGGACTTTCCCTATCTTTGCTTGGAGAACCTTCTCTCTCTTTGAGAGTTATATGCAAACCAAACAAGAAGGAAAATCAGCAATAAAATTTATGACTCAGATTGAAGAAAAAGGTTGATATGCGACAAAAATAATAAAATAATATACCTTCGGCTGAAAATAGAGACGACAAACGGTTTTGAGATATCACGACTTCCTGATTAACATAAAGGAAATGGAAAACAAGAAAGCAGTGTTATATTATATAGAACTCATTCATCCACTGTTTGCAAGCTAACTAAAAGAAACACTAATCGACTGTCGGTAGCTAATAAAACGAAATAGAACAAAACAAATAGTAAATTGAAATGCTTTTGGTTCCATTTTCTATGATATCCTCAGCAACCAAATTGAAAATTGAAAATTTATATGATCTATTTTTCTTTCTTAGGCTAATTCAAATCAAGCGCAAATTAGTACTCAATTGACTCTGATTTCCTCAAAATTTCACAAAATTTCGAATAATTCACAGAACAGTAAAAACAGACACTGAGAAGACGAAAGATTTTCTCGGGAACCAAACTGAAACCTTACCGTCTGATTGTTACGCGAGGATTGGGAGACGATGTGAGGCCGAGAGCGGAGATGGCGATCGTCCTTGACCCTAAAGCAACCAAAGAAGCAGCCCATAGCTCCCGAAACCGACCTGTCAAGAAACCTCAACACCGATCTGCAGAGAAGCCCTAATTCACGGTCCAACAGCGAGCATAACATCGATTGCGAAAATTAAAAGAAAAAAAAAATAAAACCCTATCTTCTTCTTGGTTTTCTTTTTTAGGTGATTTATGCAATGAGAGAAAGAGAGAAGAGAGAGAGAGAGAGAGAAGAGAGAGAGAGGATGAATGGAGTTGTTGGGTCGTTTTTGAATTTTGAACAAACAAAACGAGGGAAACAAATACGGCTCGCCAAATTGGAGGGGCCTGGGGTCTTGTGTACTTGATCGAGTGTGTTGAATTCAATACTCGCTCTGTGGGTGGTGAAACGTGGTGCGAGAGGGGCTGATATAGCAATTAGGTAGAAATATTGGGGCCCAAATATAAAAAGTATATATGAGAAACCGCGAGTATTATACTGCATATGGAAGGGAAGGGCGTATGGATGCTCAATTAAGAATGTTTGTAATTACAGGTTTAATTGTTTAGAAACATTAGGGTATCCGTTCATAACGTCTATCTGTGTACAAATTGTCGTCGTCTCTTTTAATAAATAAAATATATTCAGATTATAAAACAAATAAAATGGATTCAGATTACCCATGCCATTGTTGATTTGTTTCAAAAACAAAAGAAGGCAAAGCAAATATTTCCTTAAAATAATTTAGGGTGTTGATTTTCTCATTCTTTTTTTGTCAATTTACACTCTTTTTTGTTTTTTAATATTTCTTACTATAAAACACAATTTCCATAAGGGAGTGTAAGTGGATAAAAGATGAGTGGGAACATACAATTTCTAACAAATGTAAGTAGATAAAAGAAGAGTGAGAAAATCAGCTCTCAAAAATCATTGTATGGTATATGGTTGGACGAGATGTTGATATTTTCTATTTTTCAGGTATAGTTATTGTATAAGCCCCCTCTTTCCCAAAAAGTGTTTTTCACTTTGAGAGAGGAGGAAGCCACTGTTCTTTGTCACATCTCTCCTTCTCCCTTCCTCCATTCTCCTCTCTTCCCTTATTTTCAAAGACAAAAGGTTTCTCCTATTTGTCTTTGTTTTGTTATGATTTTCCTCCACTTATCACATGCAGATGTGTCTTGATGTTGGATTTCCATTTGCGTTTCAATGTTGGATCTCTAACACCATCCTTTTTGCGGTTTCTTCATATTTAGAATAAGTCGCAACTCTTAGGGTTTTTTCTGTAGTTTTCACCTCACATTTTGTGAGAGCTTTCCACCTCTCTTATGCGAGAATTTTCTTTGTATTGTTAAGGCTTGGTTTTTTCAAGCTTTATCTCTTTTTAGTTGTTTTGAGTTTGCACTCTTAGTTGGGATGCCTATGCCAAAGTTTCTTTGATCCTATGTGATTGTTAGTGGAGGAACCCCAGATTGTCTTAATGTTAGATCGCTCTGTTATTGTAATGACACTTTGCGGTTAGTGGTTTTTTTTGTTGAATTATGAATGCAACTCCAGAATTTCTCAAATAAAAAGAAGGTATAGTTATTTTATAACACATGGAGTACAAGCTATGATGTGTGACTATACTTTAGTACCACACTGTCATTTCTTTTTTTTCTTTTTCTTTTTGTTGGAAGTACCACACTGTAATTACTCACCCTATAAGAGCATCCACAATGGGCTCCCTAAACCACCTCCTTAGACAAATTTTAGGGAGGAATGATAAAAATGCAACTCCCACCACGCTCCTTATCCACCTCCTAAAATAGGGAGTCCTCTAGGAGCTCCTAAATCTGAGGAGAGAGAAATGACTCCTAGTGACTCCCTATTATTTAATACTGCTTTATTTAATGAGTATTTCAAACTTTTATTTAATGCTAACCATTTTTTATTTTATTTTTTAATAGGGATGGACCAATCAAAAAAGAGTTATAGCATTTATGACTCTCCAAATTAGGGAGTATGGTTGGAGTTGAAATTTTTTAGAGTGCTCCTAAAATAGCTTTCTTATATTCTTAGCCAAATTTTAGCTAAAAAATAGAAAGCATTATTGTGGATGCTAAGACCATAATATTTCTAACTAAAAGAGAATGTGAATATACTAACCGTTCATGCATTATGAGGCGCACGTATTCTTCAACAATACTTTCTTTTTTCATTGACATTTAATGCTAGCATTCTCAAAATTAGATTAAGAAGCCAAATGGTCAACCTCTTATTATGTTTTTCTTTTCTTTTTTCTGTTAAAATTTTGTTTTTATGTGTTGGAGAACGAATTGAGTTTTCCAAAAATAAAAAAATAACAAAGAGATTAGATTTCAAATTTGAAACACATACAAGACTAATGTGAAAATATTTTTTGACTAATGATCTTATATATAAACCCATTTATGATGTGTATGGAGTGTGAAATTTGCTGTGTGGGGTGGCATGTCATGGAAACAGGGACATGAAAAGCAAATGTCACCGAAAACATAAAAGTAATCTTCATAGAAGTCATTGGAAAACTGATCCGAAGTCGTGAGACGTAATTATCAAAAGTTCAAAAAGCACCATGAGATGTGGGGCCAATAACTTGAGCTTAGTGAGGATGAGTCTCAGGGCATGTGGTAAATGGCCCACAATTTAAACCGTAGTCTAGCCCAAGCCCATTGAAAGATTAACATGACCCAAATTATTATGAACGTTGGGCCTAGCAAAGTCTTGTCTTTGTCCTCTACGTAGTTCTCCAACTCAGAAAGAAGTTGTAAGTTCGAATTTTCTCTTTACCGTTCCTAATTTGCCTGTTTCTAATTGTAAAATCTACTCAGCTACGGAAAACCTAGTTATTGTTGCTATAACGGATGGAGTGAATCTCATCACTCTTTTTTTTTCCGGCAATATATACCTCTTTTCAAAGAGAAATTATGAAGTGATACGGATGTAGATGCAATGCAATTACCTAATTGATTTGGCAATGTTTGGTGCCATCTACGAGGCAACAGATAATTCCAAAAAGACTAAACCTAAAAAGCAGAAATTGTACAGGAAAATTTGAAAACTACACATAAGATCAAAATTCATTTTCCATAAGATAATGAATCTTTGCCAAAGGCAAAACAATGAGTGACCAGGGAGTGTACATGGCAGAAGGCAAAATAAGATGATGTTTGTGTCCAACTCACACCCAAGTGATGGATAGCAACGCCAATCGATTCACAGCCACCAAATTTGGTCACACACACACACACACACACACACACACTTGGGTTCTTTCTAGTATAAAATACAATTAAAGTTGGGAGTTTCACTAAAACACCCAAAATGGGGGTTGAAATTATAAAAAAACCCAAGCACTATTTAAACATATAAACACACCCAAAACCCATCATTACACACACTCAAAATCCATTTATAAACACACCCAAAAAGTTGACTTTGGGATTGATTTTGGGTGTGTTTCTATGTTTAAATAGTGCTTGAGTTTTTTTTATAAATACATGTCTAAGATTGAGTTTATTTATAAATTTGTAATTAAAGTTTGCTAAGCCAAGTGGGTCGTTGTCTTTTACCAAAAGCACCTTAAATTGGCTCCCCATCACTTCGCATATATATGGTGGCCATGGCGTGTGGTGAACTTAATTGCGGTGGGCCTTGTGGCATTCTCCATGGCAGCAGAAAAGAACCTAAAAAGTGTACGGAAAGATTGGGGTTGGGAGATTCATGGCCACAACAACAATCCACAATCGACAACCTATGAGTCATTTTATCACTATCATTTTTATTGTCCACACTTTTTCATCATTGTTATTATGATCCTTGTCTATTACTAACATATGCTAATAAATCAACATATGATCTAATTCAGTTGTGTGTTAAGGAATTTTTCGTTACGGGACGAGGTGTGCCCACGAACCACTTGGCTTAGTTACCCTCGACTTCCTATTCTAGCTCGACTTCTTTAAGGAATTTTATCGAACACCTTATTCTTTCAAAAGAACATTACAAATGTGTAACAATAATGAAAAGTGAGGACAATTGCATTCGTTAATAGTTATGTGGATCCGCTAGTAATTAAATGTGCGGTACACCAAAGATTTCATTATTATTATTTACAATGTTGACAAGTATTTTATGTGTCAATATGCCAACCACTTAATATTACCGTACGTGATATAAAATAATTTTCTAAACGATGTCTCGAAAATTTCAAAGATATCTCTAAGTTGAATTCACACATTTTAATGTGTTATATGGGATACAAAATGCATGATGTGTAGAGTATTAATTATATTATTTTCCATGTTGGTGGTATATTTACGATAAGATCTGCTCTATATATGGGAAAGGCCAAACCATCTCCATTTCCTTTGCATGTGAGAACAAGAAATCAAAATGTCATCTTGGAATTTCTACACCACCACCACATGTCCAGATACCCTGGCTACCCAAAACGATGAAGCATATGGAATCATGGAAGGATCTTCCTCTCAGGTCTCAGCTTCTCCAACATACCTACCTACAAGCATCCGATCAACTACATTACTTTGCGCTACCATTCACGTAATGTTCAATGATATATATCAAATGATTTGACAATATTAATATTTTAGTAAAAATAATTAATATTTAATATACATTATTACGTCAGTTTGGTCGATTAACACGATTCTTCTAGCATTTTTTATTTTTTATTTTTGGTACATTGGGGTCGACCATATGTGGTGTGAATTCATTGGCTACTAGCATTATTCTTTTACCGTCTCTAAGGCCATCTCCAATTCATGAGGTCAAACCCAAATAATCCTAAATTATAGCCTAATTCATCTCTCAACCCAAAAAAAAGTATACAAATTTATAAATAAACTCAATCCTAGACATGTATTTATAAAAAAACTCAAACACTATTTAAACATAGAAACACACCCAAAATCAACCCCAAAGTCAACAATTGTATATTTTTTGGGTGTGTTTATACATGGGTTTTGAGTGTGTGTAATGATGGATTTTGGGTGTGTTTATAAAGTGTTTTGGGTGTTGAGTTTTTTTATAATTTCAGCTCCCATTTTGGGTGTTTTAGTGAAACTCCCAAAAAAGTAAGGGGCCAAAATTTGGGAAAACTCAAACTTGGGACCAAATACCAATGCAGGTAGATGGACTGGAAAACT